TTGGGTAAACTGTCATTCTAGAGTTATATAATTTGTTATAGTTATAAGAGTCACAATCTTACCACTGCATTCAAATTCTTTCTAAAATTTGACTATATCTTAAAGGGCTTTTTGTCTTTGTTTTACTTAAGAATGGGGGTGACTAACACTTTTCTGTTTATTCAGAGATTCTGGTAATTCTCTTTGTCACCTGATAGTTTATAAGCTACTTGGGGTACAAAGTGCCATCCAGAGGGAAAAATTAGAAAGACAGAGGCAAACAAAGTTAAGCTAATATGTGTCAGGAATGACGGGGAATTGGGGATGAGAAGGGCGCATAGACGAGAGGAGAGGAGAGTGGCGACAGCAATAATAAATGGCAGAACAAGCTGGCAGAATGGCCACATGATTCTTAAAAATAAGGATACGTAGATAAGTTAAAATTACATTGTGGGCCTCTCCACTACGCCTATTTTTCTCATTCCACAACCCATCACCCAACTTTCCACACAAGCTTCAACCCCCCAGGAAACCCTACATAATTTGTTATTTTTATTGGTGCTCCTGGAAATTAAGAAAGGGGCTTAGTCCTACATTTCATCTCACAGCAGAGTAGAGCTGCAGAGTGAGGAGCAGGGCTCCATGATCATCAGAACAGAAGCTCCATTGAAAGGCACAGTATGCTGGGGAGGGTGCAAGACGCTTCTCTGAGGATATAGAATTTTGGGAAGAGAAGTCCAAAGTTATGTAGTCTTAAGCAGGCATAGCATCCCAGGATCTTGGATATACATGAATATAAAAATAAGTTTTTAATGACAGAAGATTAGGAAATCCAAAAAAATAAAGGTCTTAACGGTAAGCTTCGGTCTGCATTTGCCCTTAAAATGTAGCTCAGAAGGCACTCTTTTTGAAAAGGGACAGTATGTGTGGTTCCCGCCACAGTGAAGTAGCTTATTTAGAACTAATCTTGCAGTCAAAGTGATTATTAAGCTGGAAGAGACACATAACCTTACTGCTTCAGGGCATCTGAGAGCAGGCAACTCAGGCAAGACTTTCAGCCTGGGAGCCCAGGGAGAAGGAAAGCACACCAATGCAGCAGTGCGTTCAGCCAGGTGTTTTTGTGGGGCATTGGCTCTTTCACTGTGAGGTAAAATAGGATAGAATAGTGAGGGGTAATCTCACCGGCTAAGGAGACAGAGGATGAAGGTCAGGTGAATCAAAGCCTATGGGATTGAGAAGTGCAGTTCCATAGAGGAGGTAAGTGCAGTGACAACGCGTCACTTGAGCATGCGCGGGGTAGTACTTCAAGAAACCTAGGCAAAAGCAGCGGCTGGGAGGCTAAATAGCAGAACACGGTTATATGGTACTGGGACATGGATGCTGGGTCAAGCCTTGCCAAATAGGAGGAACTTGGGTAAACATATTAGGGTTTTAGCTGAGAGTCCAGAAAACCTGTGTTTAGGTTACACCTCAGAACTAAGGGAAAAGCTGAAATAGCCTCACAAGGCCTAAATATAAACTATGGCAGGATAAAGGTGATCTTCTGCCAAAAGGAAACCTTATCTTATTTAGAGGAAAAGACATAAACAAACGATCTTTGATGAGCAACATCAATATTCAAAATTATGATGCCTGCTTTGAAAAACAAAGAAACAAATGAGAGAGAGAGAGAGAGAGAAGTAGCAGACAACAGAAATCATTTCACAGACGATTCAGATATTGGAGTTGTTCTACACAAATTTTTTAATTGCTATAATTACTATTCCAGAAAATAGGAAAAAAGATTAAAAATTTTATCAAAGATAAAAATTCCTTATTGACCTGAAGAAGAATAAACTAGATCTTTATCCCACACCGTATATAAGAATCGACTCAAACTCACTAAAAGACTTACATGTAAAGGGAATGATTTGGGGAGGGGGGTATGACTCCAAAAACACAAACATCAAAACCCAAAACAGACAACTTGGATAACATCAAATCAAAAAGCTTTTGCACAACAAAGGAAATAAGCAGAATGAAGAGACAGCCTCCTGAATGGAAGAAAATATTTGCAAATCACACATATGCTAAGGGTTATGGTCCAAAATACATAAGAAACAACTCAGTAGGCAGATGATAGATAGCCTGATTAAAAAACAGGCAAAGCACCTAAAACAAGACATACAAAAGGGCAATAAGTATTTGAAAAGGTGCTCAGCATCACTAATCATTAAGGAAATGCAAATTAAAACCACAAAGAAGTGCACCTTATACTTGATAGAATACATATCAAAACACCAAACCCTGAAAATAACAATTATTGGCAAGGATATGGATAAAAGGGAACCCTTGTACACTATTGGTGGGGATGTAACTTAGCAGCCATGAAAGACAGTGTAAGTTCTTCAAAAAATTAAGAATGAAGTTGCCATATGATCTGATAATCCTAATACTGGGCATATATCTGAAAGATTGAAATCAATGTCTTGAAAAGATATCTGCACTCCCAAGTTTATTGCAGCACTATTCACAATAGCTAAGATATCAAATCAACCTAAGTGTCCCTCAACAGAGGAATAAAGAGTATGTGTGCAACAGAATATTATTCAGCCCTAGAAAGAGGAAAATCCCACCACTGAGGTAACATGGATGAACCTCAAGCACATCAGGCTTAGTGAAATAAGCCCGGCACAAATAGACAAATATGGTACGATCTCAGTTACATGTGGAATGTAGACAACCTTTAACTCTGAGAAGCAGAGAGTAGCATGATCACCAGGGGTTAAGAGGGATAAGGGATCGGGGACATCTTGATGAAAGGATACAACATTTTAGATAGAAAGCATAAGTTCAAGAGATTTATTGTCCAACATGGTGACTATAACTAATAATGATGTACTATGCACTTGAAAACCGCTAACAGAGTCGATTTTAAATATTCATTGCAAACACACTTAAATGATACACAGGTGAGGAAATGCAGATATTAATTAGCTTAATTTAGCCATTCCACAACATATACATTTTTGAAAAACATCATGCTGCACACCATAGATTTTTAAAACAGATAAGAATCCTTACAGTATACAGCAAATGAAAAGAAATAGAGATTGAGATTTGATACTTTCACTTTTCATGCTGAGGAATATTAGCTAATGTCCTTTCTTTTCCCAATTCGTCTTCCCTTTCTATCGCTTCTACCCCCTAACTCACCATCAATCTTTAAAAATAATTGTTACTTTATGCTGTTATGGAGAGCACAAAGCACACCTATAGCTTTTAATTCAGTGAAAAACACGAAAATGAGACTTCACATCTTTTATGTTACCTGGATGGAGCTGGAACATATTCTTCTTAGTAAAGTATCTCAAGAATGGAAGAAAAAGTATCCAATGTACTCAGTACTAATGGAAGGAAAATGTATCTAGTGTACTCAATACTATTATGAAACCAATATATAATCACCTACAATTTCATATGAATGATAAAACAAAACTGTAGGCCAGAAAGAAAGAGGGAAGAGGTGGGAGAGGGGAGGAGGGGGAGGCTGGGAGGAGGGAGAGTATTTGGTGGGACCTCATCTATTGTGCATAATGCAATAGTACATTTTAAAACTATTAAGAGTATAAATGCCTTACCACAACAAATAAGTAAGTGAGGTGATGGCTATGTTAATAAGTTTGATGTAAGCTTTCCACATTGTATATCAAATCAGCACATTGTACCCCACAAATACATTAATGTACACAGTTATGATTTAATAAAACACATTTTAAAAACACGAAAGTGGTTCTAAGAAGAAGAGGAAACTTAATAAAAAGTAGATTTTAAAATCTGATACCTACATTCAAACTCTATCCCAACCACCTATAATTGTGTGATCATATACGTGTGACTTTACCATTCTAAATCTCAGTTTTCCTTTCCTTAAAAAATAGGCTGACACTTTAGAGATTTCTTTGACCAATAATGAGATGCTTTACGTAGGTAGAGCGTCTAGCACATAAAGGGCAGCCAATAAAGGCTGGTACCTCCTCTTTTGTTTGCTACCAGCAATGGAGAGAAGCACGCATGCAATATTGGTAACCTTGTACTTCACAAAGAGATCTCATCTATGCATTCACTATCATTGGATAGCCCCAACAAAGACAAAAGCATACACAATTTACAGTTCATTTCTACCTTCAAAACAGAGTATAATAATGGCTAACAAAAATGTCTGAACAATATGGGTTAGTCAAAACCACAGCTTCTTAAATCCCTGGGGGAAAAAATTGAGTGTTGTAAATATCTAGGACAAAGCTCAAGACAGGCTATTAAGGCTGTGGTTTGTTCCACAATGCTATGCATGCTCTGGCTTGCCTTTCAACAATCATTCCTATTAAATCATTTGTCTCTCTGACACATTTAATGAAGTCATGTTCACGATCAGTTTAATCATAGGATTTAGAATTGTACATATTTTGACAGGAAAGCTGTTTGTATAAACTGAAACATGCAGCAAATATATAATTGCATAAAATGTTCATTATGCTTTCAGTGTGACAATCCTTGGCTTGAATCTTTTTATGCATATTTAGTTATTTTTAAGGAAGACTGCTTTGGGTACCATTAAGGAAAAAGATTATTTTTAAGCAAAATCTATGCCAAGCAATTGGAGTAGTGAGCAATTAGAAACACAGCAAACTCTGAACCATATACTTTATCTGGAAATCTTTAAATTCTGGAGAAAGCATGCATCTCTAGCTAAATGTTACGTATCATTGAAATTGATTCTAATTATAGGCCCAAAAAGATAAACAAGAAAGAAAATCTGTTAAGAGAAGTCATCTATGAATAATATTTTCCTGGAATATTGATAATAAACTTCAGGTTTAGCTTCTAGCTAGTTATTTAATTACCCAACTAGTGGCTGAATAATCACACCTTCTATATTCTGAGACTTTTCAGGTGAGGTCAAGACACTTGGCTTTACTATTATAAATGATCCCCAGGCCCAATGTTATCAGGTCTCAGCACTAATTAGGAATGAGACTTACATCACTCTCATGACCTTCTCGAAGGTTGTATGTGAGGTCATGCTGAATGTCTTCCACAAATTTGTGAGCATATTCTGGGTAAAGGTCTAGCACTTCAAAGAGTCCTTTGAGGATGATGCACTGGAGATCACAGTAGGTTAAAGCCTTCACATCTGCATTGGTCTTGATCACTTGGTCCTTAATTGATAGGTTTGCTCCAATTAAATCCCCTTTCCCTAGAAACAGGGGAGACAGAGAGACAGAGAAAGAGAGAGAGAAGTAATTTTAACAAAGGAAACTTAGGACTGAAAAGCTCATTTCAGGCTTCGTTTCTTTGAGATTACACTGAAAGGAGAAGAAACTTTACCTGGGGCAGGACTTTTCCACTTTGGCATACAATGACATTATGCTTGAGCTTTAACTTTTGTTTTCTTAATGGCCACTTTGCTCCCTTTCATAAAGAATCAACAACCAATAATTGAACAACAACAAACACACTTATTTTGGAACGTTATTAGATGAAATGGCCCCCACTTCCCAGTCAATAATTTTTTAACTTCTGAATTTTTATTTTTTGTTGGGCTCAGCATTTGTGGGAGCCAAGTCCTGTTGAGGCCTATGGAGGAGGCCTCAATACAAGTCTGTGCTATTGGATTTGACAGTAGACAGAAACAAACTGAATCAACCATGAATACCTGAGATGGTCAGAAGAAGTTATGGCAGATCCAAAAAATGAGAATTTTTAAATTATTGGATTATATATAAGTATTCTCTTCAAATTAATATTAGATTTAAACTTTAAAATTGAGCTGATCTTGGCAGAAGAAAGACCAGACTATAATCTATATTTAAAAGCACTAGGAATAAATCGCCACACGGAGGGGTAGAATTCAAGTTTGATTTATTGTTTTCACCAGTATCACCAAACTTTGAAATTTTGTTGCTTGTGCATTGTGTTAGAAATCTAAATGCTGCTCAAAAACTCAAGGTTGGGGGAATGGATGCACGATGTAAATATGGCAAGATGTCTTGGATATTGCAAATTTTCAAATGGTCTCTTGGGGATAACTTATGACGCAGTGTCTTGTGTGATAAGCATTCGCGTTACTGTCAAGCAACTCGTGTTTGCGATACTTTAGGGCCATCACACTTCCATATTTTGGGTTGCCATGGTATGGCTATTTTGGTCACAATGCCACTAGCTATAAAAATAACAGCAAGAACTTGCCAAACCTGGCATCCCAGAAAGTATTCCAGTTTATTTATTCATTCAATGAATATTTATAGAGCACTGAGTATGTGTGCTAAACCTCAGGCTGAATCCTGGAAAACAGGTACTGGTAAATACCAAAATGGCTTCCACCCTCACTCATTTTGTAGCCTTATGGATATTTTACTGTCTACAATTAGGAGATTGGTTAAGTTTACAATTATTCTGAGTCTCAGTGTCTTTATTTCGGAAAGAAGAGAAATGTTTCTATCGCTCCTTATGGTCTCCATTTCTCAGAATTACACTACTGATCCTCATAAATCAGTTATTCTTTCACGGGGAAAGAAAAAGGTGAGAAGATGCATCTGCAAACCATCTGGGTTAGAGCTATAACTTATGTTTAATTATAGTTAGGCAGACTAACACCATCTGTGAAGAGAGCATTTACTGGTGTTTTATTTTCTTTTAAAACAACAATGAGGAAATTGGTGAGAAAAACACAATTACCTGGACATGAAATGAAGGTGTACAAGACAAATAAATTCTATCCCCATAACTAATTTCTGTTCCCATGACAACTGCCTCCCCAGGCATCAGATTAGAAATGTCTTTATGTATCGATTGGACACCAGAGTTGCTTGAATAAGTTTATGGTTTGACAGCTGTTTGCTGCTACTTCATCTTCATGACAACATTAATTCTTTTCATTGGCAGAGTGATCACACATTTAATATCTACAGATCAAAGGTGAAGCCATGTACTAAGTTTATCAAAATCAGTCTTGATTTGAATCGGCCCTGTAACATAATAATATCATAGGGAAAGTAAAAATAATTGATCTCCATTGAAATAATGTTAATCCCAGAGAGTAAATATTAATAATTTATCATCTTTGTTTGGGATTAGCCCCAATAACACTACATACCAGTGTTTAGAATGGTCAGATTACAATTTACACTTTTGATATATACACATCTTTTCACCAAAGATGTGAAAATATTAACCGGGGAAATCACAATTTGTGGAAGAACTTGGGGCCAGGAGCATAAAGCAATGAGTTAAAATCTTTTTACATAGTTATTTTAGCTATATCTAGTTTCTTTTTTGAATAATAATAAGATCCAATTAAATCATGTTTGATGAGCCATGGCAGTTACCTAGAAGCCATTAAGTTTGTACCTACTATGCTCCAGTGTCACGGACGATGCCTTCGTATTCTATTCTAAAAATTGTTGCTAGTTATCAACTTTAAAACTGCATCACAATTACAGAAAAACCCACATTATATCTGCTTCTATTGGTGCATTATTTTTGATTACATGAATATCAAACCACGTGATTCTGAAAAAAGTCTAGGTGCACTCTTTAAAATCAGGCTATGTCACTGGGCAGGCTATAATACAGTGGTACTAAGGAAACCCACTGACAAATATTTTATGATTTAAAGTTACATTCTTGAAATAAATTAGAATTGATTATCACTTCTAATTTAGAATCACAAAATGATAGGGTGACTGGCCTATATCTGTACAAAGTTGAGAAAAGGCCAAGAAGAGTGTTAAATTTTTCTCTTAAACACACACACACACACATAAGAAGCTTTACTCATTTATAAAGAACTGACTGAGTTGTTCGTAAACTCTTTTACTTGCTATTTCCTGCTTTTCTATTAAGGAGAGAGACATAAGAGGGAGAGTCAAGAACTGAGTCCAAACTTTGAAAAGGAGGCCTCTGAGAATGGCAAATAAAGTCAACAGGAAGCAATGAAATGTACATGGGCCTTTCACTGTACCCTAGTCTCCTTCTCTTTACCCCTAACTGGGATAATCATACTACCTTCCTGTGTTCAGGCTTTAAATCAAATAGCTTATAAACAACAGAAATTTATTTCTCATAATTCTAGAGACCAGTGAGGACCTCTTTCTGATTCATAGATAATGACTTCTCACTGTGCCCTCACATGGTAGAAATGGCAAGGCAGCTTTCTGGGCCTCTTTTATAAAGACACTAATTCCATTTATGAGAGCAGAGCCCTTGTGACCGAATCACTTCTGAAGGCCCTACCTCTTATCACCATCACACTGGAACTAAGGTTTCAACAGAAGGGACACATGTACTCAGAGCATCACACACACCAAACTAATAAGGTTTCAAGATTTAAATGGGATGACAACTATAACCCCCCCCCCCCGATTAGGGACTTATTAAATATTAGTTCTCTTTTGGCTTCCAAAATTTGATCTATCATGTAGCTTCCTAGTTAGAATCCAGTGACAATGGTGCTACAAGGATTAGACAGAATAATGGGTGTTGTTTTGGTATGAAAGAAGACTGAATACAAAGCCCAAAAACTGCGGTTAACTTTGGGAAAACAGAGAAAAGACCTTCCCTATCTGTCTCTCTGTGGTGTAAAAGTTTACATGAGACCTCATATGGGGAAATACAGTGCAACTAGTTGTTTGCAAATATTAAGTTCTCTAAAAATAAAAAGCAAAAGCAAAAATTTGACTCAGCCCTTTTTTATTAGCACAAATTCTAAACATTTGGTGTATTACCTTGGTGATCAAATTATACCCTGAGTTCATCTGTCCCTCATCATCACTGCCACCACCTTGCTCTAAGCCCCCTTCAGAGCTGTCACTGAGTTCAATTTCCACGAAGCAAAGATTTTGGCCATTTTATGTTCTATGTGTTTAGACCAGTACTTAACTTGTTCACAGGCCCTCCATAAATGTCAGCTGAATAAACCAAGAAATGAGAGTGGTTTTAAAAAGAGGCCCACATAAAATTGTTAATAGGAAATTGTTAACCTATATGCCATTTTTAGGCAGCTGCCCTTTAAACTTCAGTGAAGACTAATTATGTCTTAATATTTGGAATTAACTTTGTGGCGCAAAATTTTCACAAAAAAATTGTCTTAGGTTTTCTTTGGGGAAGTAAAAAGAACCTACAGTCACCTTGGCAGTATTAGGTTAATGACTGTTGTAAGAGCTTAGTCTTGAGACATAATCATTTTTGCTGTAACAGAGAAAAAACTTAATTTTTGTGTTTCCTGAATTAATTCTCCACAAAAAGAAATGTCCTCTTCAAACTGAGCAGCTATTTCACCAGGAGGCAGTGTCTATCACGATTAACAGTTTGGCTATAGGAATCAAAAATAACTGAGTTATTTTCTTACTATGTGACTTGGAAACGTTAACTAAGGTACAACTCATTCATTTCTAAAATGAGGACAATTTTTACACCACTAGATATTTTTATAAGAATTAAGTAATATGTTGCATATAACGCTTAGGCAAATTAAATACATATGAAGAATAATTCAGAGTCAACACATTTGTCTGTAATTTTCCTGCTTTCCGATAGCAGGTTTTTCTCCATTTCATCTTTTTAATTTATGCTGTAGAGTAAAATTTCATAGAAACTTTTCAATTCAGACCTACCAAGAATAGCCAGCACCATGCTGTCCTTAAGCACTTCCATGGAGCCGGAGCACACAAAGTAGATGGCCTGCAAAGCGTCCCCCTGACGCAGCAGATACTCCCCCGGAGCACAGAAAGAGGTTTTGATGTGGAGAGACAGAGACCTGAGGCAACCCCGGCTGGCACATTCAAAAAGGGACAACTGTAAGATCTCCTTGTTCAAGTGCATAGTGATGTCAGAACGCAGTTCATCTGGAAAGTCTTTCAAAAGCTGTCGGAGAAGATGAAGGAGGAAGTCAAATTGGAGTTAAGTGTAGTTTAATTGAATTACTTTGCAAGGCAGCAGGGATGTTTTCCCACTGTGTTCTACTGTTTGGCCAACTAGAGTACAGAAGAAGACACCTATATATGCGTAATCCAGGATTTTTCAGAGTCTGTGATCCCAATTATATGCTACTCAATAATCAGCTAATCATAAATCTAGAGAAACAGAACAACTTGATAAGAGACTTTGGCATGAAAACATAGAATCCATTGTCACTCAGTCACTGAGTCAAGACAAAAGATATGGGATTTGGCTCCCCTGGTGTTTCCTCTGTGGTCATGATCATACGAAGAGAGAAGAAACTGAATGACCACGTTACAAATGTTTGTTACTGGTTTGGCTGGTGGATTGATGGAATGGTTGGTTGATTTATAGGCTACCTTTTTCACAATGATAGTCTAAGGTGTTTACAATGTCTACAGATAACACCTTTGATAGATTTTTTTTACTTTATTGATTGTAAATATAAAGTTCTTTAAAGATAAAAATAAAGTATATGTAAATAAGGCATACACTAGCTTGATTAATATAATTATCCAAGATCACACCATTAACCTGTCATAAGAATTGTTTCCTTCAAAAAAGGGACCATGAGAGTGAAAATAAGGCAAACTGATTGAGTAACGTAGCAAGTCAATATAAAACACTTCTCAGTCCACAGTGGCATTATGAAAACACGAGACAAAGCAGATGAAAGGAGATGGATTAGGATTCATGAGGGCTTCAAAAATAAAGGGATTAAAAAGTTGCTAAAAGTGTTTTTCACTTTTGATACCTGCATGAACACATCCTGCTTTTCCTTTAGAATACGTGCTTTCTGTCTGATAATGTCAACATGAGAAATGAACATTACCTCATTTGAATCTATTCCATTGTTGACTGACCAGGTTGTTTGAAAATACTCAAGCATCCTCTGCTTGAGCTGTTGGGGCAGGTGATGGACACGGATAAAATCCTTCAGATCCTTAGTTCTCGTGTGGTAGAGGGACCATCTAGAGTACATCCTCTGTATGATTGCTGTCACATTCCCGAACACCAAGGCGTGCATCAAGGCTAGGAAGAACAACACAGCACATAACAGAAGAGAAAGGACGCTGGAGCCTGCTCCCTAAGTCTAAATTTACAGTCTATATTCTGGATCGCAGCCTGGATGTTGATGTGGCCACATTGATACGGCTAGTTTGGGGCAGCCACTTTGTCACAGGCTGCATCCTGAAGCAGTCATTTTGATTCCATATGGCTTGATCAGAATAAAAATTACTGAATTTTAAAAGTACTGAATGAGTTGCAAACTAGGCCCCTTTGGTCCACACATGTCTCTTAGCTACCATTCTGGTTATGACAAATTTTTATTTTGAACTCTGTACACATCTATGTTGTTTTAATAGTTATGATATATTAGTTTCAATAGTTTGAAAGATCAGCTAGAAAGTTATGGCTTGATTGTTTTAATTATAATAATAAATTTCAAATATTAGTCCATTATAATGGGTTAGCCTTTGTGGGAATTTTAGTCTCAACCTCCAAAGCCATCATTTAAAATTATTAGTTGTTTTAGAATATGAAATATTTTAATATGACTATGGAGGAAGTTGTTAGAAATGTCACTGAGGATTCCTGAGCACTCTCAAAATGAGACTAATATGGCTCTAATTCCCAACCCCACCATACTCTGCAGTCACTTTAATTTTAAGGGCAGTATCAGAAATTTCAAAACCTTTCAAGAAACAGATACGTTCACAGAGAAAAACTCCACTTGGAGTCACTGCTGCCATTCTGAGAAGCACCAACATAACACACACAAGGGCTCTCTGGAAAGTATCCAGCCATGGATGTCTGTTTCTCATAGGATGTGACTGGATATCTCTGGACAGCCTTTGAATACATGGGACTCCTGTTTCATTTGGGTTTGTCTGGCTGATAGTATTTAACTCCCACTTTCTCACAGAGCTTCCTCCTTCCCACTCTCTACTGACGAGTGATTTCCACTCACTCGTCAGTAGAGAGTGGAGCTGGCATGATCTATAGGCACCAGCAGATAGCTCAGGGAGGCCTCGCCCATACCTGGGGCTGAGAAGCTGAGAGAGATCTGTGAACCAGGTGTACTTAACGTTTGTGGGCAAATCAACTCAGTGACATTTGGATTTTAGCCCTGATCCCATCCTGGGACAGGACAGGCACTGAAGTAAGAAGTTCAGGGATTGGTGAAGTCATCTGTTTCAGTAATTTAGGATTAAGAAAAAAAACTAAAGATTTATTCTATTCATTTGTCTATCGGATCTAACAAAATGTCCCTGAATCAAAATCTCAGTGTCCAAGGAGCTATGTTAAAAGTTTCTTAGCATCAAAATGGATACAGTAGTGCAAATGTGTCAGCATCATTACGTCTGTCCTTCTGAACATTTCAGCACAGCCCCAGATCAAATTCTTTTTCTCCACACATGGATGAAGAATGATCAAACATTGGCATGTTAATTTCATTCTAGCCTAACACTGGAATTAAAAGTCTCTTCCAGGTTACATATCATAACTTCTCTGTGAAACAATGGTCTTTATTCCTATAAAAGCACTCACTTAATAACAAAGCTCATTATTTTGGAAAAGTTACTAGAGTAAACTTAAGGTCCAAATATAATAGGAAATATAAAGTTGCATACAGAATATGGACCTCATATCAGACAGGTCTAGATTTGAAGACAGGCTTTGCTACTTCCTAATTGTATGAATTTGGCAAGTTACTTAATTCCTTTACCTGAACTAATTTCCCATTTGTTAAATGAGTATATTAGTATCTTACTCATAGGGCTATGTCAAGATTTAAAGAGCTAATCTATGTATAAAAAACAGTGGCTGCTTAACTCATGTAATTTAGTTAAAAGTGTTATGAATTTTCAGCATACTCAAAGGAGTAAAATTTGGGGAAAATGACCTTGATGTAAAGTTTTCTGGCAACCTTTTCAATAGTGAAGAATGGCTCTTAGTGGGGAAAAAAGCTTCTTTATAAAAGAAATTCAAGAAAATTCAACAAACTCCTGCTGTATGTGAGTACATGCAAGCATATATTATTCCTAAACATTCAAAAATGAAGCATCTCCCAACAGGTCAAAAATATCCCAAGAAAAAATCTTTATCACTTAACAACTTAATGGTGCCTTATATTCTTTGTTAATTCTAAAGGGAAGTTCATTATTCTGTATTGTCCAAGAGCCACAGCAGTCATGATGCTTAAATGTTTTATTTGGAAGAGAGGATCTCTACGATAAACACTCAGCAAAGAAAAGAACTGATTCTGTTCCAAGTCAAAGAAATTAAATGTCTATTTAAGGCTCCGTTAATCTCCCTCCTGGCCAAGTGTGTGCAGTCCCTATGATCTTTAACAGTATACACCAATCTTTTCATGGAGATGAAACCAAGGGCAGAGAATAATTTTTTTCATTTATTTTAACCCTGTGTTTTCCTTAATTATGTATATAATTTTAACTTTCTTTTGCTTAATTATAATTTGTAAAGCACTTAAAGTAAGAGATACATACATTGAGTAATGTACATACATTGTACATTATCAATAAAATGAATTAATGGATTAATTGTAGCATTCATAAGCATTGCTGGAAAGTACTAGTCTATGTACCATAATTTCAAAGTCTCTTTTCTGCATAGAAAACTACTTCTAATTTAAATAGTTATAATATAAAACCGTGGCTCTCGCAGTGTTTCACTTTCCAAAATTATTATGGCCTTTCTGTCACCGGTTATCATTTTAGCCTGACAAAGAGTGTGTGTAACTGTCAGACAAAATCATCCCACCTGCTATGAAAGTTTGACTCAAGAACTTCTATATCCAGGTCAGTTTGGAAGCTATTGCTCACTGTTCTGTTATGTCTAGCAAATTTGATGTATATGATTCTTGAGTGTTAGACCTGCCGAATGTGTGCGAGTCTCTCTTTCTCTGTGTAGGAGTTTCGCACAGAATGTATTTTGTAAAATCTTATCTCAGTATAAGGTCCTTGAAGGAACCTCAAGAATTGGGATCTAAGATGAAAGCAAGCAGATCTCAAATGAAAGAATTTCATTTATAGGACAGCCTGGGGTTTTCATTCTTTCTCTTTCTTTCTCTTTTTTTCCTTCTCTTTCCCACTGGCTTTTCCTTTCCATTTTTCATTTCCCTTCCCCCTTCCCTTCCCTTTCTTTTTTCCTTACCAGAATTTTTCAGCACCATTGTTCTCCTGGAATATTATATCATTACTTATTTTTTTTTGTAGGTTTTTGGGTATGTTTTATTATTTATTTTTATTTTGGAATATCATTTTCTAGTGTGATATTATTATTTATTTTTATTTCAGAATATTATTTTTTGGTGTACTTTTATTATTTACTTATTTTATTTCAGAATATTTCTGAACACACTACTTCTCCTTAAGTGCTTTATGTATTATAATTAGGCAAAGCAAAGTTAAAATCATATACACAAACTTTGTTTACATATTTTGTCTTTCCTACAGATTAGGTCAAAGTTATAAGTGTGCCCTTTACCCAGACAGTGTGCACTGCACTTAATGATATAAATTTGCCCATCCCTCCTTCCCCCTCCCCACCCTCCACCTTGATTTTCATTGAGATTTACTTCCATAAGTTCACTTGTTTCTTTACAATTATTTTGCAGTGCTTTGGAGTCTATGTAGGGGCTGTTTTCTAATGATGTTAAAGGAGACCAGGACTCAGTTTTTGAGTAATCTTAGCTGCCCTCTTTCTCTCTTCCACCTACACCTTGCCCTGGAATTTTCCATTCTTTGTTACAAGTACACTGGATTATAGATGGCAGATGGCAGAGAAAACAGAGGGTGAGAAAGATTTTCTAAATGATGAATTTAAATGGCAGTGCAAAGATATCTTAGGAATACCCTGAATTCGTGAACACCATAAGTCATATAAGTCCCATAAAATTATGTGAGGGTAGTGTGTAGTGGGTGGGGGTATCCAAGGGAAACTTTGACGACTTCATAACAATAATACCTCACTTCAAGTGGTCATGTTCTCAGCGATGAGCCATCTTTACCAGGAAGCTTGATCAGACCTCCACGACTGAGTCCATGACCCCATCAATAGGGGCACATTCGTTAGGTAACTATAGACAGTCCCTCATAAGTATGACAGAAGAACTTTTAAAGACGCGGAGAAATCCCCAGTATATTTTGTTTTGTGGCAAAGTGAATATGTGTAGTTAGATCTAAATGTTTCAGGAAACAGAAGACTGAAAAGCCATTTTTTGGTAATAAGATTATATGTAATTTTAATTTCTATTTTGCAGTCTTTTCTAAATGTGCATTATAATAGCAGAAATGGTAATAAAAAAAGAAAGAAGATCATTTGCTTAAATACCTACTTTCATTATTAAGCTGTGAACTCCTCAAAGGAAAGCATCATATCTTAGTCATCTTTGTTTCTCCAGCACCTAGCACACTTCTTGGAATAATTTAAGTGTGCCATAAATATTTATGGAATGAAAGTGAATTTCTGATCATTTGGGACTTCCTTTAAATTGTTTTATAATAGTTAAGTGGTTTAAAAATGTACTTTGAACAGGTCAGCCCCAAACACATCCTTTCCACCCATCCCACTCCCCAAAGTCAAACTTTTAAAATATTTTCTTAGGCCTTCTTGTGGTTACCATCAACATCGTAGACAATATAATTTTACTCCTATTGCCAAACCTAAAACCAATCTTATATGAAAGACAACAACTTAACTACGACCAGGTTCTCAAAACGAATACTATTTTATCTCCTCTATTATAATAATTTTACAAGGTAGAATTCATATTAAAACACATATAGAAAGTTACACAAATATTTAATGTGTAGTTCATTGAGTTTTCTCAAGGCAAACATAGCTATGGAGTCACCTTCCCCTACCCTCCCATGTTAATAAACAAGATATTATCAGCATCCTGGAGGCCTCCTTGTGTCCTCTCACAGGTACTAATCACCCACTCCCCATGGTTATGAATTATACTATTACAATACAAAACTTTGCCTGCTATTGTACTTTCTCTA